TCTTTGATATTCCTCTCTCGCATTTGGTGTGAAACAAATCATATTATTCTCCATGCCTTATAAGGATAGTTTACATTAGAACATATCAAATATATAATAATGTTTTATTTTAATATTGTTTTAGTAAATTAGTGGTTGAAATTTCACGTCTTAAATAATAAAATGTCGTGGAATTTAAATTCAAATTCATACAATTGAATGTTTATGTTTATGCATACCTTCAACCAAACTACTTTAATCTTATTAAACATCAACTAATTCTCAATTAATATAAATATCAAATAAAAATTAATAACTCAAGAGCTATGCACATATTATTAATTGATAATATAATTAAAAATTGATATTTAAAAAAAATATTGAAAATTAAAAGTGACATTTTTGTAAAAGAAATTATGTCTATAAATGTGATAAATTATTATGAGACGAAAAAAAAACTTTGAAAAAAGTTACAAAAGCAAAGGGACATAAGGGTCCTCAATGTTGGAAAATATGATCTTGATTGTAAGCATGGAAGAAAACTTCCCATGCACATTAATTAAAGTAATTAGCTAAACAACTGTATTACATTTCCAATGTGACATAAAGTTCCAAGTTTGTTTAATTAGGAAAAAAAAGAGAATAAATGTAAAAGACTTCCTATGTGTTTGGATTGCAAGTTTAGGTTTTTTCTAGTAAGAAAATTTGTTCTACCAATGAAGTTGATATTTCAATGTTTTAAGAAAAAAATGTCCTAAAGAAACTTAACAATGTGAAGCAATTAATTCATTGATGTTTTCTAAAGTGATGGGATGGAGATGTTTTTTTTCTTCTTCAATTGGAAGAAAGATAAAAGGAAAATTAGGGTATTTATTCAATTGATGAAGTACAACTTTCAACTTTAAGTGGGTCATCTATGTATTGTTTAGCTCTGTGTTCTTGATGTATAGGTAAGAAGTTTTATTGTAACAATATTTGGTCAAATTCAAAGTTTAAATCTAAATCATCATGTTTCTCTTTTCTACAAATATTTATTAGAGTATGTGTTACCCGATCAATATTATATAAAAAAAACTTTATAATTTTTTTTTCAAAATCTCAACAAAACAAATAAAAACATTAAAAAAAAAATACTATTGCTCAACATGGTATATCATTTTGGCCAGCTTATGAGAGGTTAAGAGCTTCTTCCAAGGTTAGAAAAGATGAACATGTTCATCAAAAAATCTTATTTATTTAATTTTATGAAAGGGAGGGTCTAAGCCCAGAAGAAAAACTACAACAGAATTAAGTGGAGAATAACATTCTCACACAAATCACTAGTAAGAATCTAGTTAAAAAAATACGGGCATTCTTCGAAGCTGCACATAGAAGTTTGTTGTGAATTGATATCGTCAAGAACGAAGAAAAATATTTGAGTTTCTTAAACAAACACAAAAAACCTTATTAGGTTTTACAAAAGGGAAAGAAGAAGGAAAAAGAAGAATAAAATTTGGTTAAATATGTTTTTCTATTCACTTTCTCAATGAGGGTTCAAAGATTACAAGTGAATACCAAAAATTAATCTCTCTCAACAATCTGAGAGAACTAGTTTATTTATAGACTAATAAGCTAACTTAGGCAACAAACTAATTTAAAAATTGGGATTACAATTAAGGCTCAATTCGACATGTTAACTTCAAACACAAAGTTACTATATTTCAACAGCGTATTTGAACAAACTTCAACTCCAGCATGCACAACTCTTGTCGAACCATGAAACTACCCTTGTCGATACTAGAGTTAGATGAAAAAATACCACAAAGTCAATTGCAATCTTCCATTTCTAGCTAAAGTATCAACACACATGTTGACTTCCTGGTAAATATGTAGAATCCTAACATCAATATTTTGATGCATTAAAGCTCTGATTTTAAGATAAAGATAAAATAAGAAAATAAGTTGAAACCTGGAAGTTTCTTAAATGAAAGAAAAATGACGGTGGTGAATTTTGATTGAGATAATTGAAAAATTGTAAATTTTAATTAGTGATTAAGTGTTCTACATGATGTAGCGTTGGTAATTTAGTCATATCTTCATGTTTACTAGTTAGACTGACCTGATTCATACCTGAAATGTGAAGATGACGGAAGGGAAATAAATTTTGTGTAACATCTTTTCTTGATTATTTCTTTGATCCATAAACGAGATATGAAAAGTTTGAAAAAGAATAAGAACACAATCATACTTGAAACATATATGGTAAATATTTTTCCATTTTTATTTTTTTTTATTTGTTAAACATGATTATACCATTTCAAAAACAGAGATCCAAGTAAAGACAACCCAAAAAATACAAAAATCATGCCAAAGAGAAATGGAAGAAAGTGTATAGAGGAATGATGTACCTTGAAAGTTCTTCAAAAGTAAGAATATTAGAGTCTATACAAAGAAAAATGGAAGAAAGTGTATGAATAACATGATATCTTTTTAGAAGAAGAATAAGAAAGGTAAATAAACTTTCAATGTTGAGATTCGAAGCATGTAACATTTCATCTATCACTACTTGTTATTACAAACCGTGATGAAATGTATTTTAATAAAATAAAAATAAATTCAGGTACATCAAGGCGAGTTATTACTACGCTTGCTTAAACGACCGTAGTAATATGGTGTTACTAAATGTATATTTTGTAGTAGTGGTTGTTAAGTAAAGCCTTATAATCTTTTCTTCATAGATATTCAAGGCATAATCAGAATTTTGTAGATTCAGGTGGCCAAGAAAAGATAGCTCTAGCATGTTCGCCCTAAATTGTGCATGAGCTCTCATGGAGTTAATTTGAAGAATAGAAGATCCCAAACACTCGAGTAAAATTACTTACCCTTTTCAAGATCTCATGCTCGAGGAACTATGTACTGGATTAATTTTACTATGCCCAAGATGAATGGTTCATGAAAAAGAAAGTCAAGCAAAATACATTGGCGTCAGGAGAGCATACAAGATTAGCTTGGGCTAGGCAAGCATCCGTATAGTAGGCCTAGTTGCCCGAAATGGGCTTAGGTCATCCGAATCAGATTACATTGCTCGTTCACTTAATGAACTTGGGTGATGATGCGATCAAGCAGTAACTAATTGAAGAGAATCAATCAAGGAAGAATAATTGCTTTCTCCACGATTAAGGAGGACAAATTCCCTTTTTGTCACGTTTTTTAATGAGGGAGTTAGGGAACTGTCAGCAAACTCTTTAGTCTAGACCCATAATGTTTCTATATAAATCTCATTCTCAAAATAGGAGAGAGATCTCCAGTTCTTCATAAAATAAAGTCTCTCACAATCGTATACGAACAGACCCTTAGCACACTCAAACACCCTAAATACTTAAACAATCCTAGACAAACAGGACTACCACTCATTGTACTTTTTTAGCAAGTACAAGAAAAACTAAAATTTATGTTAGTTCAAATATGAAGTATGCTCCCTAACTTGAGAGGCAAGACATCAAGTTAATGACGTTAAACAAGCGATGGATGATAAACAACCCATCAAAATTAGATTTTATCGTTTTATTTTTATCTTCTAATTTATATTTTCTTTTTTTTATAAATTGATTTTCTTTCATTATTTTTGGTTTAACTTAATATTAATGTTGATGAATAGCAACACCAAATTTGTAATTAATAAAAATATTTGATAATTGAAATACACTTTTTAATTGACACTGCTAATAATAAATATAAGTCAGATCGTGAAAAACCATTCAATTCAATTCCATGTCTAGTAAATAAAATAAAATTCAAAGTAATTCATAGATTTGTATGCATGAGACAAATTAATCACCTATTATAAGAGACTAATTTAGTATTTTCTGTTGGACTTTTATTCTAAATTCTAAATAAAATACACAATCAAAGGCTTGATGAAATCAACATAAAAGAAAAAAGCAGTTGAATTGAACATGTGGATCATGAATGAACATGTGCTTTGTAACTTGTATGTGAAAATCGAGGAAAGAAATAAAACAAGTTTGTCTGGTATGCTATCAACCACAAAGAATAAAAGCATGTTATAAAATTTTATGACTTTTTATATCCAATTTGAATTTTGAGTCTTCATGATTCAAAATTATTCTAATAATACGTCGATATTGATAATAATTTTAAAAAAATTAATAAATTAAATATAACACATCAAATATATTTTTGTTCAGAGATATTACACGTAACGAAAGTTTAAATAAAAAAAATATTCTCACACTCAAAACATTAAACTTTTAGAGTAAAATGATTTTTTTCAAATTGCTGTCTTCTATGTTGTTTTTTCATCATAGCAGTGCCTACTACTGCCAAAATGATTGTAGTGACTTTAATACAACAAAGTGCTAACCATGTACATCAAATAATTTGCCTTTTATAATAAATGTTTCATGAATTTTCAAAATAGATTCTCTATTATAATTGTGTACGCAATCAAATCCCCTGGTCGTCCGATCTAAATCAATAGTCAAAAATGTTTCGTTGAGCTTCTGTGTTGCAGAGAATCTAAGTCCGAATTCGATAATTAATTTGATTAGTTTTTTTTTCCTTCTCTTTTCTTGTAATTGTCTTTCTTGACATATAATCCAAAGTTTATCTCTACAATAATGGGAATAAACATATAAAAGCAAACATGTCCCTACCACTATCCAACACTTAATGAAGAATTTTTAGACAACTTTAACTAATACCAAATGTAAACAAAAACATGTAAGCTAGAAAATTGTACTCTTTTGATACTAAATAACATAGTGAAGTGAATCTCCAAAAGTACTTATCAACCTTATACATTTATTATTACATAGTGAATTAGTAAAACTATTACCACACACTCTCTCTCAAAAAGGTGTCATGGAGAATGCTACATTTTTTTCATAAATTTTTTTAGACGTCTCCGCGATTCATCAGAAAATCTTAAATCCGATATTTTTAGCGCATAACCTGAGTTTTGGTAATTCATCAGAACTAAAAAAAAAACCTTAAATGCGATATTTTTTGTAGCGCATGACCTAAGATGAACCAACGGAACAAATCTCAATCGAACAACCAGAATCAAGCAACTCTTGAATCATTTGTTCAATATGATCATCTTCAAGAACAGGTTGAAATTGTTGATGAGAAACTTCAACATGATGATGACTTTCAAAACCAACAAAACTACTCCCTTCATCAAGCCATCTAATCAAACCACTTTCACCACTTGTTCCACCATGAATGTCATCATTACCATAAACAAAAGTGCTAGTATTATTAATAGAACAAGAACTAAAACTTTGTGTTGGAACATGTTGTTGTGTCTCTTTTTGAGGTTGTTTGGACATTTGAAGAGAAAGAGAAGCCATGTGACATTTATTTAACTTTGCAGTTAAAGTTGGTGAAAGAAGCTTAGATGAAGAAGATTGTGGTCCATTTGGATTGTATGGAAAATTTGTACGAGCTTTTGGTCCACACATTAATCTTGCTGCTTCATCATATGCTCTTGCAGCATCTTCTGCCGTTTCAAATGTTCCTAACCAAATTCTTGTTTTCCTATAATAATTCAAAATCAAATCAAGTTGATATATAATATATTTTTTAAGTAATAAACATTTGATATAAAAAAAATATATAGATCAGATACATGAGATTAAGACGAATATAATGGTGAAGAGAGTTACAGTAAAGGGTGACGAATTTCGGAGACCCAAGAACCCCAATGCCTTTGTCTGACACCGCGATAACGCTGTTGAGGTCTGGCCATGATGATGAAAACTTGTGTGTGAAGTGTTTGTTTTTTGAGAATTATAGAAAGAAAGAAATGTGACTTAAGTGAAGTGAAGTGAAGGTGAAGCAGCTTTGTGCATATATTTATATAATGTTCTTTTTGCAGTATTGTTGTCCTTTGTTGATTTATGAATTAAATAATAATGGGCCACACTATTGTTGTGTTTTTCATTCACCCCTTTATTGCAAGGTAAAGTTCTTGGATCTATCTATTGTATGGATCACTTTACTTAGAAAATGAGGGTTAAAAATGAACACAAAATTATTATAAATATTATTGAAATATTCATTTTTTTTAATTGATCTCTAGTTATGTTAGAAGGGTCAAATTTAAGGTGTATAATAGTTGTTGTATTTTTTTTTTTTTTACTTTTTAATCTACACTATGGTGATGCTTATAATTTCCTTGGCATGTGTGAGGCTTACAATGGCTTGAGGGAGTAAGAGAAAACCAGACGGCTATGACACTAACATTTACAGTTCAATGATTGTTGTATTCATGTCAAGAAAACTATTGAGTTTGTGATAAAAAATAAAGTAAAAGAAAAAATAATTTTGATTATTTAAGAAATATTTATAATTCATGTAAAAATGAATGGTAGATAGTTATCTAAAAGCAAAAATGTAAGAGAAGGTCAAAGGTAGCAGTTAGTACCCTACAAAGCCCCAACACATTCACACAAGCAGAGTATGGGTTTTCAATTTGCATAAAAAGGAAAGATGCATAAATCTAAATTTTCTCACATGAATATGAGTCATGCATGTAAATTTTTTATTACTACTTTAATGGCTTTACTAATATACTTTGACATTTTCATGCTTTGATATCATAATAGAAAAACAATTAAGGGTTTGTGGAGCAACAACATATTCAATATTTAGAAAATATTTAGGAGAGAAACTCACATCTTCCTATAAAACTTTAACACATTATAAATCGCTTCTTTTATAAATTTAATATTTTACTTATTCATAAATCTTCACTCTTTCCCTATTTTTCTAATGAAAATTTTAAACCGAAATAGTCAATTTTAGCATATAATCTGTCTTAAATTCAAAGTCTGTCCCAAATCCAAAATTTATATTAAGCTCTAACAAACATTAATAAATGATAAAATAAAACATACTTAAAATTTTTAAAATATATATTATAAAGACTTCAAATAATAAAGTATAATCTAAAATATCAAATGCATTAATCATATAACTAATATTGCAAATTATAAAAATAAATAAATAATAAAGAATCACATTAATAATAATACGGTAATTTATATAGTATACACACAAAAAAATACAAATTAGTCACGTGATATTTATGGACTGGCACTTGAGGAGGAGTGTTAGAGAATAATAATTAATGTGGGACTCCAACTCACACTTGATATATTATTCTCAACACTCCCCCTCAAGTATGAGTCCACAATGTTCCTTCTCAAGTGAAAATATTTTTGTCCACATACACTTGTACCGTCGTTGATACCTCTTTCCTGAGCATTTTGATCTCAACGTAACACTTCTACCCGAGTATTTTAATACAGGTAACTTAGTCTATTTACTCGAACCAAAGAGTCATGTGAGATATTGGATCGAACTCTAGTATGGTCGAAGGGTAGCTTCTTGGTTCGACAATTTGAAAGAATCTTAACATGTCGTCGAAGTCTGTTCACACGTTGTAGTCGAAGTATGCTAGGAGTGTTAACATGTCGAATTTGATCTTGGTTGTATGCCAAATTGTTTAAGTTATCTTGTGTAATGAGTTTATATGTAAAATCTCATTAGGTTAGTATGTTAGTTTTCTTATAAATAGCATGCTAGTCTCTCATCTTTGTTGTGTAGTGGAAACTCTAATTAGGGTGAGAGAGGTTAATTGTTGGTATTCACTTGTAATCTTTGAACCCCTTATTGAGAAAGTGAATAGTAAAATAGTTTTAACCAATTCTTTATTCTTCTCTCCCTTTTGTAAAACCTAATAAGGTTTCTTATGTTTGTTCAAGAAAATCAATCTTGTTCTCATATTTTGGTTTGCTCTTGATACCATTTGTTAGTTCGCGAGGAGGAGTATCAACGTTGGGCTAGAACAACATACAAGTGAGAGAGACACCACATATTCACCCAAAATCTTAAGGTTTTGGGTGAATATGTGGTGTCTCTCTACTTGTGTATTGCTCTTGACCCAATGTTGACACTCGTCCTCACGATCCAACAATATTCACGCCACAAACAGAAATCTCATGTCACAAAACACAAATTAGCGATTGAAGCAAACCAGCTGCGGGAGCGCATGTCGCAACTAGCTACCACGTGAAAAACACATCACAAATTTGCCACGTGAAAAACACGTCGCAAATTTCTCATGTGATATTCATGTCACTAATATGTACATATGAATAACTGCAAAAACAACCACCACCACCATGTTTCATCTTCTTCATACCTCCATCACCATCTTCATCATACCTTTATCACCATTCTTAATACCTAAATGCAACACAAATAAATACATAACTGCAAGCTAGAGCTTAATTACTCAATTATATAGTTCACTCACAACAACAACTTTCATCCTCCATTCTCATTAACCTTTATCAACAGCGCCCTTGTATCTCACTACTACAAAAAATACATACAACGGTTAAAAAAGATATATTACCGCGCAAGATTGGTCGTTGCTACGTAGCGTGTAGTTGTATATGCGTTATTTACAACCACGGTCGTATGACCGTTGTAGAAAATTGAAAATCATGCAACCTATAATCACACGGTTGTTTTAAATACCCGTTGTAAAAGGTCTGTCAGTTTTTAAAAAAAATTTGCCACAAGTTTTGTCTAACTACATTTATAACTTTTATCACAATATACAATATTAAACACTTTAACACAACAACATCAAGAATAACAAGATTAGCAAGAATAATAAGAACAATAACAAGAAAAACAAGAATAACAACAAGAACACTAAGAATAACAAAAACAACGACAAGAATGATAAGAACAACAAGAACAAGAACAATAACAAGAACAACAAGAACGATAACAACAATAACAACAAAAATAAGAATAACAACAAGAACAACAAGAGCAACAATAAAAACAATAAGAACAATAACAACAACAACAATAATAGCAAGAACTACAAGAACAATAAGAAAAGCAACAAGAACAAGAACAAAAATAAGAATAACCACAAGAGCAACAACAAGAACATTAACAACCAACAACAAGAACAAGAACATTAACAACCAACAACAAGAACAACAACAATAAAAACAATAAGAACAATAACAATAACAACAAAAACAACAACGACAACACAAACAACAATAAAATAAATAAATAGAATGGTTAAACAATAACATTTTACCTGTAGAATCATTAAACATGAACAAACTGTAACATGTTAATAGAAGCAATGTTTCTGAGTTTCGTTTGGGAAAGAAATGATGTTTTCAAGTTTAGTTTAATGGGTGAATAATGTTTCGTAAATGAAAGAAGTTTGGAGGCAGGAGATGAAGTTTGTCTAAGTACGTAGTGGTGAAAGGTCTGTCAGCATTTCTAAAAAATAAGTAAATAACCAAAAGTGATGGTGTTGGGATTTGAGCTCATGACCATATGTCACTTTTCACCACAAGTATTAAATCAACCGTGATTATAGGTGGTTAAATAAAATATAAAAAAATGCATGCGACTAAATATCACATATTACAACGGTTGGTTGAATATTCATAGTAACATGAGTGTTATTATATGTGTTTTCCGTAGCAGTGTCTCTACATAACAAATAACATACACATAACAACATAAGGCTTCCCCTTTCAATAATCAAAACAAAAATTACAAGACTTAAGTAGAAGAAAAAGAGAGTGACCTGAATCAAAATAACCATCCAGCATCGGCAAAAAAACTAAAGTCGATGACCACCATGCAAGAACGACCACGGCCACGTGATTTCACTTCCGACGCGAAAATGATCATAGTACCATCGCCGCCGAGCAACAACATCACCTGTAGATTTTGTCTTTGATTTTGATTGATCTTAATAATGTATGTAAGTAGAAAGAGATGAGAGTTGTGTGTGGGGGGTGGGTGTGCGTGTGTGTGTGTGTGTGTGTGTGTGTGTGTGTGTGTGTGAGAGAGAGAGAGAGAGAGAGAGAGAGAGAGAGATGGGATTTTAAAAGGGAGATATGAGAAATGAATGAGAACGTGAAAATTAAAATCACGTGAAAATCTTTTCACTTTTTTTTCAACTTTAAATATTTAGCGACGTGAAAATCACGTGGCAAAACCTTATTCTACATATTAAGCGATGTGAAGATCACGTGGAAATGAAGTTTCGATGTATAAGGTAGTAGAAGATTAGAATAGGTTTGCATTATTCTATAATAGGAGAATAAGAGGGGAAGCCTGAAGGCAGAAGCGCTGCTCAAGTAATATGACATATCACACTTCCAAGATTGGCTTCTCAAAGTTACCCGCAATTATGCTAACCATGAGTAAGCGTAGTTGACGTGGGTTAGATGTAGTCATTAAATTCATATACTCAATAGGTTATGAAGTTTTATGCAATTTTACTCATGCTTTAATATTGGTGACTCCTTAATCTTAATGTTTGTTTTAGCTTTTCCACCTTAAACATGTTCTCTTGGTGTGACATGACAAGGTGTTTGTCATTATTAGATCCAAGATAATCATTTATTGGATACTAGCTCCTAGAGATAGGGTCAGGTTCAATATTTTCACGTAATGTAGTATGGCCCAGTGAGGAGTTTTTCTACTTTACAATTGTTGGAACTTAATGTTCTGTGTTGGTTAATAGTCTCATACATTAGCTATTGAATAATGCATCAATCTCACGACGTTGATAACGAAAGGAGATGCAAATCATAGTAACCGATGGTAATATTAATAGCTGAGTATAGGATCATATTAATAATCTATGGACATTCATGATAAATATTTAATGACAAAATCTACCTC